TTGGGCACCCATCAGGAAAGGGGCGGGTGCTCAAGCCCCTCTAGCCCCCCCATCTGCACGTGCCTGCTACATTATAAACAATTCAGTCCTTTATTGAAACTTAATATCTTTTAATAGAACTCTAATGTTACATTTGTTGCAATTTCTGCTGCAATCTTGGCCATATCTCTGTTGAAAAAGTAATTTTTATTGTCAGTGACAATTTTACCTGGATAAATAACAGATTGCAGCACCTACCTTGTAACAGCAATTGTAACAGCAGTTTGCGGCTCAAAGTGACTTGACTTCATTCATAAGAGATACGTTTGACAGATTATAGGCAATACGTTTCATTAAGTTCTAATAAACATATATAGATATGCTACGATCATTATAGTATGATGATAATGATGATGTCCGTGAAAGGATTTGTCTGGTTTTCAATTTTTTTGCTTTTTGACTGCAGTTTAGAAATGTGCATATGTATAAATGCTTGAATTTCAGACCTTTAGTTTCAAATTGCACATGAGCAGCCAGGCATGTTGAAAAACCACGTGCTGGCATTTTGTTCTTTCTACTTTTATCTTACAATTTATTCACATTAATGGGAATTTATACACATTTATCATTGTCTGTGTAGCTACATTCAAAGTTTCTGTTGCACATTCCTAAACGTTTATTGTATCTGTACTCTGGAACTGTAGGTCTGGATGTCTGTGCATGTACTCTCTTTACCTCTTTGGATCCACAGAGATGATTTTGATCCTGCCCTCCTCCACCCCGGTTTTGAGCCTCCTCACTATGAACTCTGTACTCTGCGCCGTGCCCCCTCTGGTGAACTGACCGATCCTGCCCTGGCCGAGGACTTTGACAAGTTCCACAAGCTGAGACGCTCCGAAAGCAAATGCATCCGTGACCACCACTGTGGCTCTCACCAGGGCAGTGTCCACGGTAGCCGCAGCAACTTAAGCGTGAGGGACGCCACCATTGTACCTGATGGGGGGGCTCTTGTGCCCCAGTTGCAGCCAGTGATGGTGAACCAGCAGTCGCCCCGACTCTCTCACCACAACACGCCGACGAGTCGACGGAACATTGTGGTGATGAAGCACAGCTACTCACAGGACGCTGCAGGAGGGTACAGGGCAGAGGAGGAGGAGGATTTAATGATGGATGATGGTCCCACCACCAGTCAGCACCACATGTACCATCATCCAATCCACCATGGCCCATCAGGGCTTGACCACACGGTCCATCGTACACTGTCTAATGACTTCTAATTAAAAGAACAACAAAAGGTCCCAAATGAAATTGCAGTAAAAATTAATATTGCAAATAGAGGTGGCCAATTTTTTTTTAAAAAGGTTTTTACCTAATATGGTCAGTAGAGTTCCTTTTTCTCAGACATTCCAAGTAATTTCCAAGAATGCAATCCAAAAGTCTTTTTAATAGTAATTCCCAAAAACCAAAGAGTTTAGGAGCTATCTTGAATGGTACACTGCTATGTCAATGTAATTCATGAGAGATGGTTCCAAGGATGAGTATGAGTAGGCCTATTTTGCTGGATCACAGTTCCATTTTTTCCTTTTTAGGTTCCTTGTTTGTTTAATGTTTTCACTCTAGGCTAGAATATGTCACATAGATCAAATCATATTTAAAATAATATAATTCATTAATTGTTTTGATGTTTGAAGTGTTTCCTATATGGATGAACATGCCTGCAACACCAAAGCAAGAAAAATGCAATTATAAGTGTTATTTATCATCCGATTTACATGTATGTCAGGTCATATTGTGGCTGATTTATTTCATGTTTATTTACTGAATTAAATATTTACCCTCTGCTTGAATTTGACCATGGCACAGCATATTAATCTGTGTGTGTGTGTGTGTGTGTGTGTGTGTGTGTGTGTGTGTGTGTGTGTGTGTGTGTGTGTGTGTGTGTAAAAGTCAGTTCATCACAAATGAAAAACATTAAATATACATTTGAAAAAAAATGTCAGAGTTTAGCCACCAGAACATTATTCACAGAATTCTGGCATTTCACACAAAGTTTATCAGTGATTTTCATAAAATATCTCACATAATATATTCAATGTTCAAGGTTCTATATTTGTCACATGCATAGTTATACAAGTATAACCACAGTGAAATGTAACCATTCATTATCTAGTTACTTTTAAGTTTGCAATTGGAAATTGGTGTTTATTATTATTTGTTATTTTTTATATATATATTTTATTTATTTATTTTTAACCACGCTCGAAACATAATGAAAGCTAGCTTGAATGGGAACGAAAGCGGGGAGGAACGGTTTGTAGTTCCTCTTTGTTATCCACTCGGGCCGATTATAGCCTTGCACAGGTCGTGTATTACAATGCTTACATGTTACAATAACATATAAATAGCAGGGCTTTGAACTATGATAATCTCCTTTTTCGTAACTAAGGACAACATAGACTTGCAATTTGTTCGAACAATATTTAATTTCATTTATGAAAACTTGAGGTCGAATAAGTAAGAGCTTGCTAGCTGAAACACAGTCCCCGCTGTCATTCATGGAGTAGAGTGAACGATTGCAGACGTTGCGTTAAACTAGCGTCATGTCACAAGAGGAGCTCCTGCTGGACTCGGGACAGCCTAATGAGGATAACAGGGACAGAAAGGGCAGGAGCCGCATTGGGCTCGTCGTAACAGGTTTAGTGGGAGGGTCGCTGGTTGCTCTGTACGCAGTGGCTGCTCCGTTTGTAGCCCCTGCCCTGAGGAAAGTCTGCCTCCCGTTTGTCCCGGCCACCACGACTCAGGTGGAAAACGTCCTCAAGGCGTTAAGGACAAGGTCGGGAACCCTGGTGGACATAGGCAGCGGAGATGGAAGGATAGTAAGTACTGTTCTCCCCTCTGAGCCCCCTCAAGAACTATAAAATTATAGTTGCAAGAAAAATAAAAAGGTATTGAAAGCCTTTAGAGAAACCATAATTTTATGCAAGGCGCAGTTATAGATTAACAAAATATAATCAAACTTAAAAAAAAAAGCAAAAAAAAAAAAAAGCTCGTAAATCATGTCTGATCAATCATGTCTTAGTGATCGCTAAGGCTTTATCATCTACAAGCTCCAGCAGGTGTGTCCCGTAGCTGTTCAGGAGAACAGGGGACCAGTTCCGCCCTACAGACTGTTTAGTTTATGAGTATCTGGGATGTCATGTGGCTGAACAACTGTTATGTTGTTGGTTTACTTTTGTGCTTTGGATCGTGTCTTACACCTTTTGCCATCCTGTCCTAAGCTTCAGGTCAGGTCATAACTGTTGTCCTGATATCGTCTGTTCTTTATACAGTTTTGAAATAGTCCTGGTCTTATGACAGCTGGGCTAGGCTTAAAAAAATCCAGGGCTAGTGCAGTGTTAGGCTTGAAGGTTACCACGCATGAAGGCCAGAGGGTTAAAAAAAATTGAAACTGTTTTTGTAAACAGCCTTAAAGGGTGAAAATTTAATTTCAGTAGCAACCAATCTAACATGATTTACAAACGTGTGTGTGTGTGTGTGTGTGTGTGCTATACTGTTTCCCCTTGCTTCTTGCAGGTGATTGCAGCAGCCAAACATGGTTTTCGTGCGTCAGGGTTTGAGCTGAACCCCTGGTTGGTGTGGTACTCTCGCTACAGGGCCTGGAGGGAGGGAGTCTACCGCTCCACCTCATTTCACATCTCAGACTTGTGGAAGGTCAGTGGTTTCTGAAAACTAGGGCTGAACGATATATCGCATTTGCGATAATATCGCGACATGATCAAGTGCAATTTTCTAACCGCAAAGGCTGCGATTATACTCTGGACATGTCCAAATTCATGGGCTGCATCCTCCTGAGGCCGCATTTGTAGACCGATTACGTCACAGCGACGCGCCGAAGGCTGTCCAAATTACTACCATATCACAGAATTCATAGCGCGGCCCAGCCAAACTCCAGCCGCTACTAAGTTTTAAAATTACTCATACTAATCTTTCTGGGTCACAAAATAAACTTTTAACATATTTTCAGGCGAGAAAGTAGTTGTGCAAACATCAAATATCTGCTCGGTTTATCAAGATATCCCATATTTGCAAAAGTGCTTCGACGTTTTCAGAGGCGTCTGCTACCCACCAGCTCGACAGCTGGCCGGGAGCTCGAGGGTCACTGATGCGGCCGAGAACGGCACAACTCCCGGCACATCATTTTCAGATCACCGCAGAGTTTCGCTACTCGGGTTAAACGTAATATATAAGTCACTTAGACAACCTAAAAACGTTATTGTTGGGCTTTTTTCAGTGTTTTGTTTGTTCGTGAGTAAATCGGTTTGGCTGAGATTAAAGTTATTAGATGAGATAAAATAAAACTTTATTAATCCCCCGGGTGGGTTCCTCCTTGGTTTTCACACAGCTGACTAAACGTCAAACAGAAAACTTATTAAGCAGAAGTATGAGACAGTCGAGAATTTACACCAGTGTCTGGTTATATTTTAGATAGCAAGAAGCAGACGGCCGAGTTTATTAAACTCCACCGAGACAGCGGTGACGCTAATCAGAACTAGCCTTCTGATTGGCTAATCAGAAGGCCAGACCGTCCAATTTCACGCCTTTAAATTTTAAAGGCGTGTTTGTGTGTGTGTTTATACAATTGCTATTATGTTTGCACTTTATGTGTAATGTTACTGACTGCAGAGATCAGTAAGATGTGTGTATTTTTTATTTATTAGTTTTATTTATTTAATATTATTTTTTAATTGAATGACTGTCTAGTAGTTCACAGATGTCGAAAAACTGAGTGTGGTAAAGCCACTGATTTTTTTTATGTATATTTCTGCAATCTGCACATTGTACTGACTTTCATTTTAATGTTTACACCAGGGTTCCTTGTCAGCACTTTATGCTCAGATGTTTGTAAGCTAAAAATAAACTATTGTGTATGTTCAAATATACTGTTGTGATTGAAGAAGTTAAATAAAAATGTCAGTCATCAATTCATGCATCACCTCATGTCATCATAACAGAGGTCTGTCTTCCAGGAAAGAACAGTTTAAAATTAATGTAATATAGTATTGGCCATACTATATGATGTATTGCTTGTCTTTGTTTAATAATACAGAAGACAAAGACCTTAAAAAATAATCGCATATCGCATCGCAATCGCAATATTGGGGCAAAAAATCGCAATTAGATTATTTTCCATAATCGTTCAGCCCTACTGAAAACAAACCTTTGTTTTACAGACATCTGCTGTAATGAAGTTAGTCATTTAGCATGTTACTTCCTTTTTCCTTTCTTAGGTCAGCTTTGCTCAATACTCCAATGTTGTCATTTTTGGAGTCCCTCAGATGGTGAGTACCTCTGTGTCTCACCAAAATGCAGAAACTTGTGGAGTTCAAATCATCATGCTAATTATGTTTGTTTGCTGCTTTTATCTTCAGATGGAGAAGCTTGAGCTGAAATTGGCAAGCGAGCTGCCTAGCACAGCCAAGGTGGTGACCTGTCGCTTCCCCTTCCCTACGTGGATTCCTGAAAGTACCGTGGGGGAGGGCATAGACACTGTATGGGTGTATGATGCAAAGACATTTAAATCACACCTGTAACATAAGAAAATCAAGTCTAGAACACCATTCTACTCTCAGATTATTTTAAAAACTTTTGTAAAAATTTTGATAAAACTAACTGTAACTGGAAATAGTTGCATATATCTCTTAACATTTAAAACCACAAAAACAGGAAAAAAGGAAAGGTCAGTGCTGTACATTTGAAATGTGTGACCATGTGAAATTACCATGACAATAAAAATGATGATTGAGTATTACTGTTTATTGTTGTATAACGTTGCCCATAAGTTTCAGTGCAAGTTGCGGGGATTATACCAGAGTCCTAGGAGGAAGCTGCACAACTGGGAAACTGGCTTGTTGCGCGGAGCTGCCATCTAGTGGTGAAACTATCACATTAACACTTGTTGTTTTGTGTACCGCTAGCTGATGAGCCATGAAGTAAAACAAGCTGAATTTAATTTGAAACGCATGATGACGTCAAACTTAACAGGGCACTGAAATAAAAAGTCTTTCTAGAAATGTTTACATCTAGATAGCCGGCAGTCATCGCTGCTGCACGGACTGCTTAAATCCGGACTGCTGTGGAGCAGGGCTGCTTTAGCAGCCAGCCAAGATGGACACCGCTGAGGAAGGTAGCTAATGCCCAAACTTGATTACCTTAGCGCTAAATGGTAAAGTCATTCATGCTGACTTTGCATGTGACCTAACCGGCCCTCAACTGTTGTTGGTAGCAACGACCACGACTCCGTTGTCTTAAATTTCAGCAAAGGTTCTCCAGAAGTAGAGAAACCGCTAGCGTTAGCCAGCCAGCTAGCTGGCATTAGCTTACACCCTATAAGCTGTCATGTCTATGTGGAACCAGAAATCCTAGAACGCATTACATGGGCACTGGATAGTGGTTACAACGTAGAAATTGTAGAGGGAGTCCAATTCACAGTGAAGCCACACGCAAAATTATCTAATTATGAGTTAACCTTTAATAAGTTGAGCCATTGAAACCGTTATGGGACCGTACCGAACAGTATGACATAATAAGCTAGCGGTACGTTGGTAAGGTCGGCAGGTTAGCGCATTTAGGCTACCATTTGACAAGGCTCATTCACAACTTTGCGAGTTCAACTAAAGAGAAATTGTTATTATGACGAATGCTCTCGACATACTCCAAAAGCCTGCATTTTATAGTATATTTGGACTTCCAGAAAAAAAGCCCATTATATTTTCCCTGAGGGAGAATGAAATTGTTTTTAGCCACTAGCATATATCTGAAGGATATACCATAAATATATATAGCTAATATAGCTATACCTATATAGCTATAGGTGGTATCCTCGTGTCATGCTCCTACTTCTTGGGCTAATTATAGTCATTTTATTTTTGTCATGCAGTGACACTGATAATCCAAGGATTTACAGTTTGCCCTAGTCTGACCTATACTGTTACAGTCACTTTAAATACGAATCCAATGCACAGACTCAGTCCTGACACATGTACACTGTTAGCGTTTTGTAGAAAGGTATTAGTAGTTTTGTATTACGGCTCACATGTGTTTATTAGTGTGGCTCAGTATATGTTTGGTGGGGTGTTGTTTTTGTATTTTTTTTATTTTATTTTTAAAAAAGCACTGCCAGACTGTCTTTAGCTATGCAGATTCTTATCACTGTGTGCCTTTTGTACAGCCGATATCTGCCGGGTATGTCGGTCAGAGGGGACCCAGGACAAGCCCCTTTACCACCCTTGTGTTTGCACCGGCAGCATCAAGTTCATCCATCAGGAATGGTATGCGAGTGAGCAAGATGTTCATGTAAAAACTTTATGGTTTTCTCTTTTCGCTTGCTTTTCATGGCTTGCAGGTTTTGGTTTTTGGTCACATGGAAGTGCACGTGGTTGTGCAGTCCACAGAAATTACTAGATGTGAATTTCCAATTACATTTGCAAACAGTTGGATTTATCCTGCAGACCTTGTCTTTTTTGGAGGGGGGCAGTCTCACTGTGATGCTGTAAGATCTGCCTTTCATGTGGATGTTGCTTTGGTCATCTATTTAAAAATAAATAAATAAATCTAGAGCTGCCTCTTTCAAAAGGGGTAATTTGCCCTGCCATACTGCAACAGTTTTTCAAGAATGCTTTAAAAGTATGAAAAAAAGGTTTCAGTGTGTTGACTTGGTCTCAGAATTCCCCAGATCTTACCAAGGTTAATTAATGTAGGATTTGCTGGAAAAACAAATGTGATCCACAGAGGACCCACCTTGCTTAAGGACTTAAGGATGTGTGCTGACATCTTGTTCCTTGATACCCCTGGACATGTTCAGAGACTACTGAGGAAGATTCTTGTGCAATTCTCTGTGAGACATGGGTAAATTCACTCTTTCATTTTGTTTTCACAGCTTACTGCAGTGGCTGAAACACAGTAGAAAAGAATACTGTGAATTATGCAAACACAGGTTTGCATTTACACCAAGTAAGTTGTTTTTATCAAATCATTCAATGTCTTAAGACTGCATTCATTTGTTGTTAGTGCCTTCAAATGCCCAGTTATTATCTGACAATTTATTTCTGTATTGCTCTTCTCATCAGTCTATTCTCCAGACATGCCATCTCGCCTGCCTGTGCAGGACATCTTTGCAGGGCTGGTCACCAGTATTGGAACAGCCATCAGATACTGGTTCCACTACACACTGGTGGCCTTTGCCTGGCTAGGTGTGGTACCGCTCACAGCATGTAAGCCACATCTTGGAATTGCAACTAACGATTACTTTCATTATTTGTCAGTATATTTAAATAATAATTTTACTCTAAACATAAGAGGATTTAAAAAAATGTATTAAGCTTTCCATTACCTGAACATGTCCTAACACACTTCCCAGTGTTTGCATATGAAACCACAGTATCAAATGTGAAACAAAGATTTGGGGAAATTTTATGTTTTAAGTGGAGGTAAAACATTTGAATTGGTTAATTGACTAAACTTACAACCAGTTTAGTATAGTTTAAAAAAAAAAAGAAGATGCTTGAAAACAAATAGTTCTGTGGACCCAAAGGGGCTAATGTTTGACTAGCATAAATAAATCACATGTGCTCTAATTAGATGTTTCAGTTCAGCACAGCGTGAAATGTAACACCATAAATGTACAAATTTGAAGCAGTTTGGTTTTAGTTATAAACTAGTTGAGAAGTGATCGCCATGTTGGGGGTTTTGTGTGTGGGGCTTTTTTTTTTTTTTTTTTTTTTTTTTTTTTTTTTTTAAGCCATAAAGTAAGAACAAAAAGAGAGTTCTTAGTCAAAGCTGTGTCCCAGATGTCTATTTACCGGCTCTGTGAGCTCTCTCCTTACCCTG